ATAACAATGTTTAAATCAAACCACGCACAGTGCCTACGCGGGTATTAACTCTGTCAGATAAAATAAATATCAAAAAGATAAATTTGAAATGATCATTAATTTTCTTCTGTTAGCAGTTGTATACTTCACTTTGATTAATGTAAGTATTAGGTATAACATCTTTTGATGATCTACACGACACGGCATGTCGTTTCAGAAACTGCATTTTCTCACTGCATTATTCACAAATATCAATTACTGTAACAGCGTCTTGACGAATCATTGAAGGTACTCTTTTGTTGTTTTGCGATATAGTGACAAGAAGTGCGTTAAAAAGATATTATATAAACTTTTAAACTTTCGCGTTACATTATATTAGATTGTATACGACGGGTATTATTAACGCGATAGATTTTGATAGTTAAGTTTTTCACTTACGTTTCCTGAGCGACGTTTCGAAAAGGTTAAAACGGCCGTAGTTACGGGCTGACTGGTTCTGCGATGCTACGTCTCATCTTATGAAGTGGAATTCTCTTCCACCGTCCAATTTTTTCCCCAGGTAACCGTCACACACAATACTAACACAATCCCTATTCTGTATCGCAGCCGTATTTTGGTGGTCCGGCAAACGCGATAATTTGAAACCATCTTTGCGATTGAAATTGCTGGGATGTTTTTTTTAATTCCAATCGCCTCACACACAATCCGCGAATAGAAATGACAATCCGCTGAAAGGTGTGTACGATGGAATTCAATCCAGTGGTTTGTGCCACTTTCCAGTAAGTGTTCTGCGATCGCTGATTTATTTACAATGGCCAATCTTGTCGGTAGTGCGATATGGATCCGTGCGGCTTCTCAAAAATCTTCACATCCAAAAAAACAACGTCCTTTCCACTTTCAACTCAAAAGTGACTTTCATTTTCGGATGAATTGAACTAATATGCTGTAGTAGAGAATCTATCTCCAGTTCACCGCCTTTGATGATACAGAATATATCGTCCACAAACCTCTTCCAAAGCCGTCATTGTCACAATGGATGGCTTAAAATTCAGAACATTTATTTCAAAATGTTTCATCCTTATATTGGCAAGTTCCACGGCTACTGAAACATTATCAACAACGTAGAATCCAGAGGTAAAAATTTTTTCGCGGTTGCCGGACCACCAGAATACGGCTGCGATACAGAATAGGGATTCCGTTAGTGTTTTGGAAGTGGACTTCACTTCAGAAGATGAGACGTAGCATCGCAGAAACAGTCAGCCCGTGGCTACGGTCGGTGTAACCGGGTCGAAACGTCGGGAAATATAGCTAGGTGAAAAACCTAACTATCAAAATGTATCGCGATAATACCCGTCGTATACAATCTAATAAAAAAGATACTATTTACACGCTATAATTATATTAACATTAGCAGGGCTTCGATTCTGCTTATGTTAACATAATAATAGCACTTAATTGCAATTAACTTATCATATATGGTGTCTGGATGCTGATGGCAGATTATTTTGTTGTTTTATAACGTAGCAGCAAGAGCTGTGTCAAAAAAACTCCTACTTTCACCCCATTCACACACCATAATCCTGTTAGTAATGTCATTACTTATGATAAAGAGCTGGTAAATTTCTTTCGCTTGTTCTTCTTGTCAGCTAAATGACCTGAACGAGTGGTACTTAAAATATTTTCATTTCACTTCAATAACAGTGTGTCGTGTTGGTGCCGGAGCGGGCAAACATGACATTATGGTCGGACAAGTACGTAGGTTACGCCCGCTTGTACATAACGAGGAAGAGTCGCAACAGTCCGTACTATATCAACATGGAGGCTAAATCGAAACATATGTGGAACAATAATGTGACGGTAAATAATATCATGTATTCCATAAGCACCCAAAGAAATTGATAACCAATTTAAAGTTAACTTGCGTTGAAACTTTAAGGATTTATTGTTATTAATTTAGAGTGTTCGTTTTAATTCTTGCATGTAGTTGCCTGTTTTTAGGGTCCGCCTGCAGTTATATGAATTACTCCCATAACTACTAACACGTTTGAGTTGAAATAGGGAATTATGTTATTACGGAATTATGTAATCTCTGTAACAGGAGAGTTTAAAATTAAGAAACGTAGAAAATAGGATCTACTCAGAAATATTACAAAAACCCTCACAAGTTCATGGTTCCCTGAAGAAACCTTTGCTACGCGAGTCAATCAATCGACTCTAAGGTTGCTGGTTTTTATTAATTTTAAAATGTTTTCTGCCATTTTTATTCATAAATATTAGGTCCATTAGCGCGCACCAACAGAACCATATTCAATCATAATTATGTAATGATTTCAGCTAAACATAGTATTCTACGAGTACCTGCACAATGAATATAGAAGATCATTCGTTGAGATACATAAGCGAGGCTGCGATTTGATAAACAAAGACCCCCTCATAGGTGTTATGCTCAAGAAATGCGGGATCGTATGTCCTCTTCAGGCGGTAATATATATTTTTTTAATTAAAATATAAATTATAAAGATTCCTACTTTACGATCGCTCTCATCATAGTTTCACTAAAGCTTCGTTATCAATTCGTTTGTACTTCATTCGAAATAAGCCACAAAATCATTTTTTATCTTTTTTATATTAAAATACGAGTATATTAAAACTCTTCAGTGCTTGTTCAAGTTAACTCACGGGCTAGGGCTAGGCACTGCCATCTGACAACAAAATGCGGTAGGATCAATCACAGTATTTAGGTGTAACACATAAATAAAATAAAAACAATTATTTAGGAAATAAACTATTACCGTACCCTACATTGTTTATGAGTAATGAGCAAAAAAAAAAACAGAATTCCATCAAAATGAGGAATTTTCTACTACAACGTTTTGCCATCTGACGGCAGCTCGGTATCGAAGTAAAGCACATATCATTGTATATAAAGTGTTCACGTTACAAAACGCACATGCGATGTAAATAGCTTTTGTTCACGTTGTACTAGCCGTTTCAATTTAGAATATCCAATTTCAAATGTCGAATTCCTAAAATGTCCAATACTTTATTCCTGAAGAATCAATTATCGGAATAAAAAGTAGCCTAGTAAATTCGTGCGCTGTGCCGAGCACACCTTCGTATTGGATGTTAATAAGCGCTTAATCTATGATACTCATAACAAACGTAAGGTAAGATTTCAACCAACCACATCAAGTCATACCATGGCCGTGGTTTTTCCAGAACGCTTGAAATGTTCATAGTACGGCAGAATTGAAAACATCCTTTAATTATAACACTTTTTAATGTACAGGGCGAATACCACCTTCTCAATGTGACGTTGCCAATGGAACACTTTAAATACCAATTTCCTTTCGAAAAGTTCCGAACGGATATGGACGTGACACAAACTCACACAAAGGAAATATTGATGAAAGGTTACTTTTATGGTTCGTTTAAAACGAAATAAAGTTGATTACCCCTGAAAGTATTTATTTATTTATTGCTTTCCACCACGTATTACGAAAAAGGGGGAGACAGTGCCCTGCTTTTTTAAATAAACTAAATAGTTATAAAAATACCACTTATCTAAATTTAGTTTCTTAAAAAGTAAATTAAAAAGTCGTTTGTTATATTTATAGTTAAAATTAGTCACTTAAATATTCTTGTATGGCACTTTAAAGTTATTAGTATATACATAATCGTTTTCCTTATTTATTTTTTAATTTAAATTGACAAATTATTGTGTATTTTTATTACCACAGCTAGTGGATCAGAAGAGCGTAGTTTAAAACTGGAGGTTGCTGTAGTTAGTTTATTCTAATTGCGTGAATAACTGGTTATTTTTTTATAAAAATCCAATTTGTTTCGTATGACCCTACATACTTGTAAGATATATAAATGCCGAATAACATATGAATTTTATATTTATGAAAGCATGATTTACAGAGACAATTTATAGCCCAATTTTTAAAATCTTAATATCTCATACACGATAGTCAAGAATTCCGACTTTCCGATACATTTGAAAAATTATTTTCTAAGACACTAATAAAAATGACTAGAAATCTTAGTTCGTGTTCTAGACTTGCGGTTACTCATCTAGAGTCAGTTGTTGATAAGTGCAATACTGATTTATATTAATGATCTTCCTCACTTTACCAAGAATTTGTGCGAGACAATCTTATTTGCTGATGACACCTCTTTAGTGTTTAAAGTTAAGAGGGGTAATGATTGTTTTGACGTTGTAAATGATGTTCTCGATCAACCCACCTACTATTGGGATACTTTAATCATATACATGATATCCGCAAAGTTAGATGGTATCACAAATAGAGAGTGGGAGGAATGCAATATTCAGCCTAGTGCAGAGGTCCTGGGTGACAAAATTGCCCGTAATGTCTAGCAAGATTCTAGCAACATGCGGCTTGCCATGCTTGTCGATGACCTTGACCAGCGCTATAGATAGCAATATGTTACATGCATTTACTATACTTTCATGTGAAATTATTTACTTAGGCTCATCAACATGCAAAAGGGTATTGTGTTTTTTGTTACAATATTTGCAATGTGATAATTAACAGCTTAAATCATGATGACCTAATCTTAGGCAATTTCGACAAACCATTATTTCTTTAAACTTTTGCATGCGTGATTCTGTTGATAATTTACGAAATGAGTCACGTAAAAATAATTGATGATTTTTATGACATAAAGGACACAACACGCCATCCATAAGGAAGGCCTGAGCCCCTGCAGTGGGGACGTAAAAGGCCTGATGATGAAAGGACACGAAAAAGCTTTAGATTTAGGTATAAAATTTGAAACAACAAAACTTTTTCATTATTGATTTGTTTGACCTTTAATTTTGTTCTTATTGTTTCTGGCTTCTTCTAATGTTTCTAGAAGGTCAGCTCTATTAGTTAAAAACGTGAGAAATATTTCTACGGTAAGTGGCTCACCCCGATTATTACCCAAATTTGTTAAGAGAATCGCACTGCATCATTATAGTGAAGTGTAACATATTATGAAATAAAACAACATATAAGACAAACGCATATATTTAACACACATAATATTTTACAGGAATGTTATACTACTAATATTGTAACACTATACAAATGTAATAATTTATAATTTTACTTACACCATTAGAATGATCATGACAATAACATTGATATTGAGGTTTCAAACTATTCCTCCATTGTAATTTAGCAACCAACGGGCAGTTTAAATGTATACCATTTGTTTACATCTAGATCCATAATGTTTATTATGGAATTCCTTAACGACCCTTTTATGTAAGAATATTCAAGAATTATAGGAAGATTGAAATATAATTAGGCCAAAGAGCATAAGTATTTACATCAAGCTACAAAAAATATTATATTATAATCAATTAAAGCGAATACACTAACATTCACATCCAAGTAAAATTGAGCTTAATTTGAAAGTTTTTTCATCTTCAAATTATAAAAGGTATTTGACAAGACAAGTTAATGATGTTTATTTAATTTTCAGGAAATCAAGTGTAAACGAACCAAGATCACATACGATTAACACTTGATTCTATATAATTTCAAAAGTATCCACCAAAGACCCCTTGTTACAGATTTATGCAAGTTAAAGATATAGAACATCTTTCAAATGAGAATATTCAAAATAGCATGCACATCAAGTTACCACAATATGTCAAATTCCTCCAATTGATTACGCCTCCTAGCGTAATCTTGACTGTTAATCAATAAATGAAGGAAAATGATGCTCTTTCAAATAAAAGGATCGATCGATGGATCACTTAAAAAAAAGAAAAGAACTGAGTTTGCTTACTTATTCCGTGCTTCGAAATAAGGACTCATCACGATTCATTATTACTATAATAATACAAGAACTTGGATTATTATAGTAATAATGAATCGTTCTTGTTCTTGTTCTTGATTAGGGTAAGACTCGTTTAACAAAACTTCACATTTTTGGGACCCACCTCTGACATGGCTTAGAGAAAAGATAGCTATAAATATCGGTAATACACAGTTATTCCAATGCAAGTCAAGTAATTGCAATGGAAAATAAAATTAAATATCTAATACAGTGGAGAATAACCCATTAGGGCTCCCAAAAAATGTTGACCGACTGGTGGATCGCGTAATAATTATTATAATAAAAGTCATTAAAAGCATTCTATTTGTAAAATTACAGGTTCTCAATATACGCGGCTCTTTCATAAAAATTTAATCCATAAATAAACAGATAAATAGATATTAAAACGGATATAACACTGGTCCAAGTCATACAAATACAGACACATCACACCCAGCAGTGGATCCATCAAAAGTGTTGGGTGATAAAGAAAGAGAGCATCAAGTTCCATGTACGGTAATTTGGTTTGGAATATTTCTCGTGTTGTCTGGAAACATAGGAATTGTATTAACTTTCAATTTAACCAATGTACTGGTGCGGTTACTTGAGGTCGAGTTGTTCGGCGAGCAGCCGGTCGCAGTCCTGGTCCCAGCGCGGGTCGTGTTGCTGTCCAGCGACCACCTCGTACTCGTTGAGTTCTGCCTCCAGCTCCTTTTCCCATTGCTCTGTAACATCAATCCGCCGATGGATCGTTAGCTGGCATTTCGATACAGCGTTAGAATTGTTAACGACGTACAGTATATCTTAGAGATTTAACAACTTCCACGCCTAGTTAATTAACAAGACATCACTGTAAGAAATATTGCGAAATTATCGCGCGATCCCCACTAACAAGAGGTTATGACAAAAATATGCAAGTTTTGTAACTGTGGGTACTTCAGTATTGTAGATATCCTAAGGGCAACATCACTCAGAATCTGGTGCAAAAGTTAGGTGCTGGAACACTTGGTGTCCACTATCACTCTATACTTCGATATAAAAAGTATCAACTATGGTACTCGTATAACTGTAGCACATTTTTTTTTCGAAAGATACATTGTCGCATTACCACTGAGAATCTTCAGGAATTGTGTCAGCACTGTAAGCTAGGTGGAGCTTTGTAGCTCCCTGTGTACGTGTATTTATTTGCGAGGGGTACACAGATATCTTGCGGGTTTTAACTAGATGTGGAAATTGTTAAATATCGTATTTTTACAATTATTTTAAACTTTTATACCTTGAGACAAAGGTTAAAAATGAACTCTGACTTTTTATCCCATAATAGTTAAAGGAAGAGAAGGAACAACAGCATGTTATGTCCGTCAACGATTTTTATTTTCAATCTAATTCCAATTATTTATTGAAAATCTGCAATTTTCAGTTAGGTAATTTCCCTTTAAGTTTCAAATTGACCATATTAATATTTCTATAAAGGCATCAGATTCGTAAAATAACAAGTCCATTATTATTTTAGAATAATATAATTATTTCAATTCATAATAACTAACTATAAATGCCAATTCATTTAATAACTATACGTCGTAATAATACACTAAACAATTTTCCAAGTATTGACAATAAAAAGTGTTCTATTCAAACTTTCACTAAGGTACAATCAGAAATGTCGTTTAGAAACTAAATAACGAGGAACTACTACATTCATATAATGATTATCATGGGATATATATGTACGGAAGAGATCGTCTAGTCGATCGAATGTTAATGCCACTGGACAATATTATATCAATGTTATTTTAAACTGCAGTTACGCATAAAAACACACTATAGCCAGATTATTTAGTTGAATACTGATGGAGACAGAATCGCTAATACCCTACGGTGATCCAGTCGACAATAACACCTAAACTCCAACAGGATACAGACAACGCGGTAAGCGACCGCTGTCATCACATAACGGATTATTGCTGCGTTCACATCGAAGCTAACATCGAAACTAATTCACAAACATAAAAACAAGCGACATTATAGGCCTGAACGTTATCACTTCCTGCTTCAATCCTCCGACACTTACATAAATGTTGTTTATTATCAACTATAATTCTCTACACAACTTTTATAACACTGGATTACTTTCATCAGATTAATATTGACTATTATATACTAATAAATAATTACAAAAGAAAATGATTAACATAATGATGTGTTGCCAGTGTAAAAGGTTAGATGAATAGATGGCAGTTAGTGTGTATATCTTAATTGACTGTCACTAATGTGATATGTTGCGACTGGATTAGTAAATGGTACCAGATAGCATCAAGCTTCATTGTTAAGGTGTCAGGATCTGGCAACACTATTATTATATACAAATAGTAAGTTTTAACATTGCTACACGAAGCGACATAAATAATTTTGAATAAATTCATATCGAGGACCAACTTTGAGAAATGCAAGCGATAAGGCAAAATTAAAATGGGACATTAGAAGCGATGGAGCATTTTAAAGCGAAACAACATAAACCATCACACATTTAAGTAGCAATGTCAAAACCTGGACAAATATGTACTTACAATTAAATACTACTGAGCCGAATCGTAATGAACAGTGTGACTTTACCTCTATATAATCTTAACCGATACTTAGACATATATAACATTCAGTAGACATTAAAATATTTTCATTAAGAAAATGTATATATTTGAGACGAGTATACAGTAATGTTGCAGGCTATTTTTCAATAGCTATTAATGACGCTTACTTGATCGATAATAGTATATTTGTCTCAAAATTGTTAAAGGGAACAGCTATTGAAATACAGACCTACCTATTCCATAGACAACAGGTTAAAGGAAAACATTGTAATATATACAATTAATATTAAATCTTCCGATTTAAGAATAGAGAAGCTATATTGTCATAACATTCATTTATGATATACGACACGAGATAACAACAAGGATGAAAATATTATAGGTAGTGATATATAGAGTATATTATATGAGAACTTTAAGAATAAAATAAATGACAAACTGCGATAAACTTTAATATGAATTAACAGCGAAATTATAACAGAAGTTGTGTGAAAGGATAACAGTGATTTAGTGCTGTAACTTGACAAAATAACGCCATAACATATGTACAATGTTTAAACAAAAAACAACATCATCTGTATAGTTATATATTAATGTATTAAGGTGAGTCTAACATACTTTTATTACCATTTTTGATATTTTTAAAATCGAATGCATATTTTGACACCATTCGATATATGCATATGATATATAGTACTCTACAATGTCAATTAAATATTCGAAATTTGTAATGTTAATTGTTAATCCGATGTGATAACAAGCAAAATGCATGTGCGTTCCATCTATATTTATAACTTTTTAAAATTGTGATGGCATTATTTTATCAATATTGAAATATTTCGCATGATAGCGCCCTTAAATAGAGTAATACATTCTGATTATCGCAAGCCTTATATCGTCTAGATTCTTCGTTTATTCCAGATTTATATACTACTAAAGATTCAAAACAAAAAGTTGGTCTTAAGGCTTATTGTTCATTTGAAAATCTTGTATAATTATCTCTTTTTCGATCAAGGATTGAATAGTATATAAATCTGTGGTATCACGGTGTTCTTATATTATATGATTGTGGTTGCCCATCATCGGTTGTCCGTGCATCTTGCTTAAGCTGCATTCCAGGAAAAGGGAAAATATGTTAAAACACCAATTTTGCAGCACTAATGTATTTAGGGACGATAATATAATAGAATTCATTATTTCTTGGTGACATAGTAATGTGGCATTATTCTGTTAATAAATTAAAAGTAATTAAATAAAAAAAGTTTTGTCATAATAATAGAAATAGAAACATTAATGAAACAATTGATCGAATTCAAACGCTTTATAAATAAATTTCTTCGACCTCATCAAGAGCATGCATAAAAATACATTCCAAACTAACATTCCTCAAAGTTGGTTAGTAAATTTATATTTTCAACTGGTGGGTGACCGATCGCTATTTTGATTGTGATTTTTCAATAAATAAAATGAAGTAATAAAAAACTAAATAATATGGCTAAGTGTGTGTGACTAAAATAACCACCGAAAGACTAAGTTTTTACTAACATATTAGTGTTCTTCTAACTGTTGTAATGATGACGAATATATTTGTAATTTTAAACATGAATGGACGAACATGTATGATTTTTGGATATGGCCAGCCTTATGAAACCAATTATAAGCGACTATCGCTAATGAAGATTAAAATAAATGAACAAAATATATAAGAAACAAATAAATGCAATAAATTGGCTACTGTAATCAATTTTCATTGTGATTAATTATTAAGTAAAATTATCGAAATAATATTTGAGTGTTTAAAAAACTTTTATGCTCTATCGTAATTTGTTAGTGCATATTTGGTGTTTTTTTGTTTGTTTTTTGGTGGGTTAAGCCATCAAGTCTTACCATCATCGTTCTCCCTATCCACTTTTAGGGATTTAATCCGTTTCTTGACGTCATCAATTGACTCCTGAGAGGATTTCTCATTTGTGATTAGACTGTCACTTGCAGATTTATCATCTAGTAGGATAATGGAAAATAAACAAAATTAAAACAGAAAAACAAAAACAATAAAATTATATATTTAAAAAAAACGAATAGGTAATTATATTATACAAAAAAAAACTAAAACAAATAGAATATGCATTAACTATCGACATAGGTCATTGAATAAATTTATATTATGATCTTTGGCAAGGTTGAAGAAATTAATGTAATTATATATTTAGTGACAGTAAATAACAAAGTAGAAAAATACACCACTCATATGCTCAATCAATATTATAACTATTTAAATAGAATTGACCATTTGTGATGTTCGCCTCATATGTATTTATTTCTTCATAAGTAAAATAAGCCTTATGTATGTATATTATAGAAATATATATTAATATATTGGAGTAACTAAACGAGTATGAGTAAGAGACCAGAGAGAGTTAGAGTTGGTGTTTATTTTGCTAGATCGATGAGATCAAACTCATAGCTGAGATGAGTGCTGTCAACATTAAATTGCAGGTTTTCATAGTAAAATGGTAAATCAAAAATAAAGCATAAAACGGATATCTGCTAGTAGTGAAATATCCTGAAGTATACCAGGGACTGATATGATCAATTGTCGTGAGTTAAACGAATAATCTGGGTACCTCTTTACAGGAACCTATCAGTTGTAAATAAAAAAAATTATAATGTCACATACCGAAGAGGAGACAAGCTTGATTTGTTTTAAATTGTTATGAGTGATGAGGTATGGTGTTATATAATGTAGTGTAAAGCCTTGGTGATAACTGCGTACCCTGTGAGTCGTCAGCGCTGGGCTGGCGACTGGCTGCGGCGGCGTCCGCCTCGTTGGCCTGACAGATCAGCGACAGGCGGTAAAAGTAGTTCCTCCAGAAGTTCTCTTCCGTGATACTGTCAATAATATAACATTATAATATAAGGATAGCCAATTCCTTCGTTAAATATTATAAATATCACTAGCTCAATCAGCTATTAGTAAAATGTCCATATAATTTCCATAACAATATCTTGGTACGAAATGGAAAAGATGTTATGCCCTACCGTTGCTGATATATTTATTGTAAGATTAGTATTGTTAGAGCAGGAGAAGATTAACAAGTTATATTTACACTTTTGGCACTAGCTCGAAGCGCATCTTCTCGAGATTTGGATCTTCAGCCATGATGGCGACGGCGACCGGATACATTTTGTCGTAGTCGAACTCAAACTCTACACCAGCAGGTGGCGCACGCACGAAGTTCCTTCGGTCCTGAAAATTGAATTAGCTCGGTCATGAAAACGTATAATTCATAAGATAAATTTACCATCGACTCAGTTTACACCCAAACATCCAAACTTTATGAACAACTCCAATGTCGTGGCGTGTTCTACGTCCAACTTTACCTAATCTTTACTGAAAAATAGGCTAGCTGACTACTTTTTTTATTTTATAAATAAATAGTCCATTAATATCTGAGAAATAATGTAGTAGTAGAAGTATGTTTGCGATTATTAATTTCGGAGATACGACGCTATATTTGTGGAACTCCTGCTAGTTGGCCGACAATGATTTCTATAATCCACGTCTTAAAAGCGTAATATTTTCCAAATTAGTGTAATAAAATTTATTTTAATAAATACATAAGATAAGTTGGTTACGCATATAAAATAAACCTGTATTTTATGACTGGCAAATGGAGATAAGACGTCATTCCAACAATGAAATGAAAATGTCTTTATTGAAGTAAGCTTGTGACTTTTGAATCGTCTAAAAAAAGTTTTTCCCCTACCACTCCTTCAGGACGTCTCTTAGCTGACTAGAAGAACAAGCAAAAGAAACTTACCAGCTCTTTATCATAAGTAACATTTACATAAATCATGTCATTACCAAAATAGTACGTATTATTACAATAATAAATACAATTTTCAAAATCTGTAGGACATAGGTAGTTACATATATATAATAAGTCGTTATAGAACAAAGCGAAGGCTATTAATTCCATGCATTGCGGTACTTAATTATCAACTCTATAATAGCCTTTACTCTTTATGTTCTTGACATGAATTTTATATTTATGTAGGGTAAGTCAATTACATTTTGTGGAACTTAATTGAACATAGCAATGCATTTACCCAGAAATGACTATCTGAATTTTTGAAGTCTGAATCTTGGAACGGCAAGTTTATTTTTATTTCTTGTGTTAAGATAATGAACACTACTTTTTCTGAAGGAATCGTAATGATTTCTTGCGTCGTAATATTTTCATAGATGTATTGAGAGGCAACAGTCAAAATAATTATTTCTTTAAATATTAGACCGTAAATTATATATAGCACGGACAGCTTTCTTTTGTATAATCAAATTATCTTGAATGCTAGCCGCAGAACCCCATAACAATAGGCCAAATGTCATTATACTATGAAAATAACTAAAATATACTGATCTCGCTGTTTCAACATTTGTCAAGAGTCTAATTTTCTTAACAGCAAAAGCTGCAAAACTCAGTCTACTTGAATATCAGATCCCATTGCGGTCGGGAATCATAAAGGTGTTAAGAAAATGCAATTAACATGAAAAAACTCACAGTAGATAGAGACAGGCACTCTTCCTTTAAGGCAGGTTCGTTGGGGGCGCCGACCCAGGGAGCCACTGCTGCGCCACCCCCGCGCCCTTCTTGACCCTTGATAAACGCGTCTTGCTCTCGGTTGAACTCGCCGAGAATGCTCTGTAAAGAATAAAAAATAACGTTAGATCGATAGGACCGATGAAAAGTTTGCCATCCGGCAATTTTCGGTCACAATAGTAAAGGGAAAATCTATTTACTAATTTGCAAATTATTTGCTTTAATAATTATACACAAATTACAAAAACATTTGTATTCATCAAATCAAAATAAATTTATTATACGCTCGTAACGTAAGCTATTGGCATATTGATAACGAGGACACTACCCAATCAGGTCCAATTTTCGTAAAAAAAATATTAGGAAGGAATATATTTTATGTAACAAAGAACAATATTGTACAATAGGTACATATTTGTGCCAAAAAACAAAAGCATATAAAAAAATTTACGTATAGCTACCGAGCAAATACTAGAAAAACGTAAGATTTCGATATAATTTTCATAGTGTATTATGGTTAATTACATCGATGGTCCTACTACTCGACAATTATTATTTAGAAATTTAATATTTCTGTGATAGTCGTTTAGCGTATACAATCTATACTAATATGATATTGTAAAGATGTAATAATCATAAAAATCTGTTAACCAAAGAATTATGTACGTGTGAACTTTTACTGATATATATAATTTAACCATAGATTTTATTTTGAAATATAATAATCACTTCTGAACTGATCCAATTTAGATAAAATTTTATCTTGAATGTATTCAAAGTAGATTCATTTAAATCAGCCCATAGTTAGCGAAGTTTCGAAATACATAGATTAAAAAAACGAACGAATACGGAGACTCCGTATTAAGTCCGCAATGAATGGTACATAATGAGATGAATGGTCAATTAAATCTTCCAAATATGACCGGATAAGCGTCAAAATACAATATGAACATATTGTTATATAAGTACCTCGTATTATTTTAAATAGACATTGTTATCAAATAACAATGTCTAGATCACACCACGCACATTGCCTAAGCAAGTATTATTAACTCTGTCAGATAAAATAAATATCAAAAAGATATATTTGAAATGATCGTAAATTTATTTCTGTTAGCAATTGCATACTTCACTTTTATTCATGTAAGTATTAGGTATATCATCTCTTAATAATCTTTACGGCGCACTACACGACACGACGTGGCGTAACAAAAATTACATTAAGAGTAACAGCGTCTTGATGAATCATTGAAGGTAGACTCTTTTGATGTTTCGCGATATAGTGACAAGAAGTGCGTCAAAAAAAATTATACGAGGGTCAAACTGAAAGTTCTTAGAAAATCAAAAACTGATTACATTAGCCAGTTATTAGTTTTATTATATCTTTTCAAAATATTGTCCATTCACGTCAATACACCGCTGCATGCGATGGAACCACTGGGAAAAGCACTTTGCCCACTCGTCCTTAGGGGTCTCTTCAATGGCATCGCGATACGCAGCCACCGCTTCTTCAGCATTCATAAACCGCTTTCCTTTAAGTTTTTCTTTAATTTTTGGAAATAAATAAAAATCACAAGGCGCGAGGTCGGGGCTATACGGCGGGTGACCCAGTAATTCAACGTTTGATGTCGCCAAATAGTCGATCGTTCGCTTGGCGGTGTGCGACGAGGCGTTGTCGTGGTGAAAGAGGATCCTACTGCGAGGTCGTTTCTCTCGAACTTTTTCCAAGACAAGTGGCAAACAATTGGTAGTGTACCATTCTGCAGAAACTGTTTTTTGATCCTCTAACACAATTGTTGCAAAATGACCTATCCTTCCAAAGAACGAGGCCACCATTTTTTTTCCCGCACTTCGATCTCTCTTCACTTTAGTTGGCAACTCCTCGAAAGGAAACACCCACTGAGCAGATTGTCTTTTGGTTTTAGGATCATAACAGTAAATCCAGCTTTCGTCACCTGTTAGTATGTCGAACACAGCATTTGAGTCACCTCCGTTAAATCTTTCAATCATTTTACGACACCAATCCACACGATGGAGTTTTTGAGCCTCAGTCAAATTATGAGGTATCCACCGGGCGCAAAGCTTCCTGACCGCTAAATGTTCGTGGAGGATTTTGTGCACTTGACTCATACCGATGCCTAAGCTTGTCCGAATCTGTTGATAGGTCACTCTTTTGTCAGTCTCTATCATACGCCGCACAACACAGATGTTATCTTCAGTCGTCGCCGTAGAAGGCCGTCCCTCACGTAAATCATCAGTGAGATTAGTGCGACCACGTTTAAACTCATTAAACCAGTTGTAAACAGTCGCACGAGATGGGGCTTCATCGTGAAAGGCCAATCGTAGTCTATCATAACTTTCTTGTTGACTTAAATGACATCGAAAGTCATAAAAAATCATTGCACGAAAATTTTCTCGTGTTAAATTCATGATGACGTGACACAGACAATTTTCAATTTGCCGCCAAATCGTAAAACAAATGACAAATGAATGAAATATATACTCAGTAATATTGGCAAAGAGTTATATTTTCAAATTTTAGAATTATTTTTTTATTATATTGTTTATAAGTGGCCAGTTCTAAGAACTTTCAGTTTGACCCTCGTATAAACTTTTAAACTTTCGCGTTGCATTATATTAGATTGAATACGACGCGATACATTTTGATAGTTAGATTTTTCATCTACATTACTACCTTTTTCCCGACGTTTCGACCAGTGGCCTAGTTGTCTAATATTTCAATCTTTCACAATAATTTTCAAACGTATAGCGGTTGTAATAGTGATTTATGTAATTGTGTACTTTTACAGTCACAATTGCTTTCGGAACGAATAATGAGTTGAATGATAGAGAGTGTCATAGATAATTCATTTCGTTTTGTTGTTGTCAAGTTGTGAAATAATCTTTACGATTTCGTATGATTGTAATTAATTCTCTTATTTCGATTAAAGAATAAACATATTTAATTCATATAAATGTGATGTGATGTGATCGCAATTGCTTTCACATGTCAAATAGTTATAGCGTGAAGTTTGTGAATGCCCTTCAAATGTCAAATTCAAAGTTATTTGTGAATGATTTTTTTTAGACAATTAGGCCACAGTGGTCACGGGCTGACTATTTCTGCGATGCTACGTCTCATCTTATGAAATGGAATCATCTTCCGCCATCCAGTTTTTTCCCCAGGTCACACACAACACTAACGGAATCCCTATTCTGTATCGCAGCCGTGTTCTGGTGGTCCGGCAAAAGCGGGAATTTTTTTATCACTGGATTCAACGTCTTCAACGGATTCAATTTAAAACCATCTTCGCGATTAAAATTGCTGGGATGTTTTTTTGATTTCAATTGCCTCACACACAATCCGCGAATAGAAATGACGATCCGCTGAAAGTACCCGTGTACGATGGAATACAATCCAGTGGTTTGTGCCACTTTCCAGTAAGTGTTCTGCGATCCCCGATTAAGCTTTGTTCTTCAATGAAGAGGCCACGGATTGCATATGACGGGGATGGTGATGTGACGTTGCATGTAGGTATCTATCCATGTGTGTTGGTTTGCGGTAAACACAGTGCGATATAGATCCGTCCGACTTCATAAAAATCTTCACATCCAAAAAAAACAACGTCCTTTCCACTGCCAACTAAAAAGTCACTTTCATTTTCGGATGAATTGAGCTAATATGCTGTAGTAGATAATCTATCCCCCGTTCACCGCCTTTGATGATACAGACTATATCGTCCACATCACTTCCTACACCACCATATTTATACACCACTCCATATAATAGGGCATTAGCAGGCTTCGAATCTGCTTATGTTAACATAATAATAGCACTTAATAGGGATGACGACTAATTTTCATTTGTTTGTCCGTCAGGTAGAGTGTTAAAAAATATTAAACACGTATTTTTAACGTAATCATAAAATTACAGCGTTACACGGAGTTGAAATTCCCCATGACGTCACGTTATGGTACGTTTTTTACTAAACAGTGACGTAGCGAGCCCCCACTCCTCAACTTTAATGCCTGTTATCTATGATATTTCTTGTTAAATTGAAGTTAAAAAAATACGTATCTAATATTTTTCTATTATCTGACTGACGGACTAAATAGAATTGCATTTTTTTACCCAGTCGTCATGCCTATTGCCATTAACTAATCATATATGGTGTAAAGTAGATGATCAAGTGGTTATCTACTTAACACCATATATAATTAGCAAAATAGAATCGGGATGCTGATGACAGATAATTTTATTACGTAACAGCAAGAACTGTAAAAAGAAACTACTACTTTCACCCCATTCACACACCATAATCACGTTAGAATCGGGTCAGATAAAGAACAAGAAACTTATAGTCCATTTTACGCATTAATATGATTAATGTATTTATTATTGTTATAATACGTACTATTATGGTAATGAAATGATTTATGTAAATGTTCTTCACTTGTTCTTCTTGTCTTGCTTGAAACAAGCTTACTTGAATAAAGATATTTTCATTTCATTTCAATAACAGTGTATCGTGTTGGTGCCGGAGCGGGCAAACGTGACATCATGGTCGGACAAGTACGTGGAATACACCCGCTTGTACATAACGAGGAAGAGTCGCAACAGTCCATACTATATCAATATGGAGGGTAAATCAAAACACACATGGAACAATAATGTGACAGTAAATAATATCATGTATACCATAAACACCCATAGAAATTGATAACCAATTTAAAGTTAACTTACGTTGAAACTTTAAGGATTTGTTGTTATTAATTTAGAGTGTTAGTTTTAATTCTTGGATGTAGTTGCCTGATCTTAAAGTCCGCCTCCAATTATATAAATTACCCCGAAGACTACTAACACGTTAGAGTTGAAATAGGGAATTATGTTTTTCGGTCACTCAAAGATGCAAATTATTTCCAACATTTCCTTAATCTCTGTAACAGGAGAATCTAAAATTAAGAAAGAAGAAATGTAGAAAATAGTTCTACACAAAAATATTACAAAAACACTCAAAGTTTATGGTTCCATGTAGAAACCTTCCCTACGTGAGTCAATAATCGACTCTTATTTTATTGGTTTTTACTACGGTCTTTTCATT